AGTCCATCATAGAAAATGTCTTGGCATATGGAAATAGTGATAATAATTGTGTAAGTGTATCAATTAGTTTAAGATATAATATATTATAACTATATTCATTTTGTAATTCTAGACACGGTGACACTATACATTTCTTATATATGTTAATGCTAATACTCAAAAATACAAAGCCGAATATTCCAGCAAAATAATTATATATTATTATGGCTTTACAACGACAAATTCCAATTTGCTATGAAATTTCGAGCTTTTGATTTATTATTTATCATGAAAAATCTTATCGTTAGTAGAGCTGAATCCTGCGGCAACACTCAAATGTGAAGATTAAATCAAGAAACATACCAAATGTTAAAATAGAAAAAAAAAATTTTTATTGATCAGGAAATGGATTGCTGGTGAATATTGAATCGAATTTTGTGACCTTTTTTTTTTTAAAAAAAAAAAAAGAAATTAATTTCGGATGCAAAAAAAGAAAGCAAAAAAAGAAAACAAAAATTTATAATTACGAAGTAATCATAGTCGTCATCGTCATCATCATCGTCAATGGCTTCCGTTGCTACTTCTTCGGCGGAGTCAGCTTTTGATTTTTTTTTTGTTCTTTTAGCGGTTTCGATTGCTTCTTCTACGCAAGCGATTTCTGCAAGCTGCTCTTGGGAGACAGATTGCTCTTTCTCATATGCTTCCTAAAAATATATATATTGAATTAGAGCAATTGTTCTATTGAAAAGATAATATAAAGACTGAATGCCTTAACAAGGGGGACGGCCAATATAATTATCAAAAGTTTTTTATCTTGGAGCAAGAACATAAAGACCACTGAATAAATTACGCAGTCAAACATTCAGGGGTAAAGTATGGGTTGATTTTTGGTATAAGAAAAAAATAGGACCAGAACAATATATCAATTATAAAAAATAGGTGGAAAAATTGGCAAATATCATAGAAGTAGAGTTTAATTATTTGGATGAAATGATAAAAATAACGGACTTGACATTATTGGAGCCAAAATACCAAGAAAGAGGTTATAAATGGGTGAATAAAGTTAAATGGGACATGGAGAATCCAAAAAGTAAAGATGAAATGCGGGCCAAAGAAGAAATAATTGTCTTTGAACATGTAAAGGTAATAAAATATTAAATTTGAGTAACCAGATTCTTAGATTTTTTTTTTTATAAAATACCATTAGGACATGAACTCTCCGTGCGATTGCTTTGTTGGTGCATCTTATACTAGAACTCGTAGGGTTTAAAAGAATATCCAAGATTGCCATCGTGTACGCGCAGTGTATTGGTGGAAGGCTATTACCACGGAATTGCTTGAATGCTAAAAGGCAAATTGAGGTGATTAATTCATCATTTTCAAAAAGGGAATTGTAAGCATTACAAGTTTCTTTTGAGGCCTTCCACTCAGAAAGCTTTGTGGCAGATATATTGTTATCTACTCTTCCAATATTTAAAACGGTGAAAGTGGCATTTCTAATAGTGGAGGCTATGTCATTTCTTTTATTTCGGCATTTATTTTTGAGCTGATAAAAACAAATAAAATTAGGCAATATAAATTTATTAGTCTTAATTGATACCCGGGTAAATATTTTAATTTCCCAACAGATTTATTATGCTGTCGTGTACGTATCAATATCGATATGCGCATGATCGAATGTGAAATACCAAAATTGGGCGTGGAAATAGACATGACTAAAAAAAAAAACATGACTAAATAAATAAAAAATATACTTCATGTAAAAGTTTCTCATTGAAATACGAGATCCAAGCACTCCTCCCAATAGTATTAATAAAATGATCCGCATGTTCTTCCAAATATCTTTCCAATGCAACTCTATATTCTTTAGGGGAAGGGTATAGAGTTGCTGGAATTAGTTGCTTTGTGACTTCCTTGTATGCTTTTCTCCAGAAATCATCAGAAAGATCATCAAGTACAATTAGTTTTTTTATATTATCTGACGTTTCTTTTTGTTTATTTATTATGAACCGACATAATTAATACAATGAATTGATTTTTTGGTCCAAAAAATTCACAGCATAATTAAAATCATGGGCCGTCAATTCCGCGCGAGTAGACTCTTGTCTAACCAAGCTCATAGATGAAGAATCACATGTGTTCCCAGAGTCTTGGGGTAATCGAGATGCGTGTGACATTTCCTCATCATCGGATTCCTCTTCCTCGTTGGCAGATGAGAGAGCTTTCTGCCCTTTTGTGGGCGGTTGAACCAGTGGTGAAGATAACTCATTCTGCTCATCATCATCTGAAATTTCAACAGCTATATAAAATAACAACAATGGTAAGCAATTTATTAAAAATTATTAAAAATATACATTACTTGTTTTTACCTTTGGTTAATTTAGGCCTTTGCGCCACCAATAATGTTTTGGTTGATTTAGAACCTTCGTTTCCTGGTGGCGTTTTGTTTGCCTCTAATTTGGGAAAAAATTTAAATCTGATTTTTTTTTAAATAAAAAATATATAAAAAATAAATATAAGTAGATGAAAAATTAAATACTAGAACTGCTGCCACGCAGCATCCTCCCGAAAACAGCTTTCGCTTGATTAATAACTGGTTCTTCTGCTTTATCTGCCTCGATAGAGGTAGAATTACTGTTTTTTGTTTTTTTTGAGGAAACATTGCTTGTATTTTTTTTACCACTCATGTTGAAGATTTGCAAGAAATAAGATTTTTAGAAATTTTTATTATAAAGATAATAAATCTTAGAATTTAAATAACTGTCTTATAACCGATAAGACATAATTAAATTACATCACTCGATCTCAATCTAATATTCCTCACCACAATTACATAATCTCTAAATTAAAGATAGGTAATTTTTATATACAATATGCGACTACTTAATTTTACTAATATTACTTAAATATTACATCCAATTTTTCGCGTAATAAGTAAGAAAACTGCTTGCAAAAGCAACCTTGATCGGCAGAATTAAACTTCAGAATTATGCCTTTCAAATTGTACTTTTGAATCATGATTAATAATCAGTCATATATAAATAATAATTATCGTGCAAACTCTTATGAACATAGATATTTTTCATTTGTATAAGCACAACAATCTCGAATTAAAACTCAATTAGTCAATAATGACTTGTAAAGCATGATCATAATTGCATAACAACATCACATGATCCAACACCTTATAATTAATAACAATAAGTAAGATATTGCTTATATAAATTATTAATTGCCCATCCCTACTCTAAATATAGTAATTTGAATTCCGAAATCGTATTTCTCCGATCAATTTCTACTTCTTTTATCTAGAGGTGTGAGCGTAATGTCGTAATCGGTCATAATTATAATGAATTACTGCATTCTTTTCCGTAATTCATTGTAATTACGATCAATCACAGCATTGCGCTCACACCACTGCTTTCATCTACATTAATTTTTTTTTTAAAAAAATCAATTAAGAAAATGGCACACAACTGCAGATTTTGTACAAAAAGCTTTCATACCGCGTTTGGGTTGACACAGCATATGAGTGTGAAGCACCAGGGAAAAATTGTTATGCAAAATTCACAACGTCAAAGACGTCAAAGATTAGAAGAACCTGTACATGATGCGAATTTATGGGATACGCCTGTTGTAAAGATACAAAGGCCGTCAATCTCAACAGAAATTCATACATCAAATATGGGGGAAATGGTATAATATGGTTGATCTATAAAATAATAATACTGTAAATGTATTGAATAAATTAATTTTTTTTTTTTTTTTGCAATAACAGGATGATATGAAAGAACGGGCATATTATGATATTAGCTCGGATCTTAAGGATATTCGGGGGGCGACTATTGATGATGCTCTAGATAGCATTGAAGGGAAAAATAACCCACAAATATTGGTGGGATGGCCCAATGATGCTTATCACAACTTTATGGAATTAGTTATAGAGGGTAATATTTCCAATAAAATTGGTGATAAGATAATCAAGTTTTTTAATAAACACAGCAATTTGGAAGAGTCGCCGTTACCTAGGTCCACCAAAAGCGGCAAAGATTATCTTAGTCAAATAAGATTACCTTCTATAGATTTTAAAGAGAAGGTTGTTGCAAATTACTCTGGAGTTGATATTACTCTTCATTATCGTCCAATTATTCGTTTAATCCAAACGCTTTTAGAACGACCAAACGTAGCAGAAAACTTTGCTTTACGGGGGACTCTGAATAAAAAGAAAGTATGTTCGATTTTAATTAAGGCTATACAAACTTAATAATTCGGTTTTCATAATATAAATTTTTAAAAGTAACCCGGCAACCTGGCTTATGATTTTATTTTCAAAAAATTATATATATAAAAAGCATATAAAATTTTATAAAAATACTCACCCAGATAGTAAATATACTTACAGCTATTTTCATAATTTCTGGAGCACTAGCTCATTACCCGAAATCTTTTTGGTTGTTCGGTAAATTACCTAACTCTCTGAAATTCCATCACTGCCTTCGGACTGAAGGTCCGAAGACAGCGATGTAGTTTCCGGAGAGTTAGGTAATTTACCGAACGACCAATTTTTCAAAGGTATCGAATGTATCAACCTCTTCAACTCTTTTAAGATATTTCAACATAGAGTTCCTATAGGTGGGCGGCAATTCAACATTCAGATATTTGTTAAGTGTGCAAATGCTATAAATTTTACTGCATTAATTTAAAATATCAAATCAAGAATTAATTTATGTAATCACTTTAAATTATATGCAACTTCTTATGTATACATACCTACTTTTGCTCTTTAAACATTTAGATCATTCACATTTTCGATTGAGTGAGTTATTAATATTCGATTTTACTGCATTAATTTAAAATATCAAATCAAGAATTAATTTATATAATTACCTTAAATCAAAAGAAATTATATGCAACTTCTTATGCCCAATGTGGATACATACCTACTTTTGCTCTTTAGATCATTCACATTTTCGATTGAGTGAATTATTAATATTCGTTTTTTTCTCATAGCGTGAGGTAGAACATAGCTTATTTGTTCATTAAATTGAATATCTGTTTGTAAAGATGCCACTGCAGGTGTTCCAGAAATTATGAAAATAGCTGTAAAATTTTTTTCTAAGGTTTTGTAAATTTTGACCCGGCCGGGTTATGAAAACCGATTTATTTAATTTATATAGCCTAATTGCTTAAAGATCGCTTTTTTTTTTTTTTTTTTTTTTTTCCTCATTTTATTTTCTTCAACTTTCGCAGGACAACGATAGTGAAGTAAGAGTGTTTGGAGAACAGTATGAATGTAATTGGTGGCACGAAACAGAAAAGACAATCCCTCCAATGAATCATCTGTTGTCTGTCATGTTATATTCTGATGCAACGACCTTCGATAACCTTGGTAAGACCTCAGGACATCCAGTTTTTTTGACATTCGGAAATATTCCACATAGACTTCGAAATTCTGCAGATTCCAAAGTTCTTTTAGGGTTTTTACCAAAACTTCAAAATACCATGGCTAAAACTGATGATGCATTTCGAAGCTTACAACGTGATGTATATCACAAATGCCTGGGAATTATGGTTGACCCTTTACTAAAAAAGCCAGATGGGTTATATTTTGGGGTTCAAGGGCGACCAAGAGCTTTTGCTGCACGGATCTCGGTTTTTCTTGCAGATATGCTTGAGGCCAGTGAAATAACTGCTACTTATAAAGCAGCACTCAGTAAAATGCCATGCCATAACTGTATGGTTCAGAAAAATGATCTAAACCATATGAACCTTACTTTAGAAAAACTGGTCCCCAGAACTCCAGAAAATATGCAGCAAATTCTTAACGATAATCGTGGAAAGGAATTTTCTATACATAATGTTAAAAACGCTTTTTGGAAATTTTCGTATGTTTTTTTTTTTTTTTTGTTGTTATGCAAAAACGTTGTTCTTAACCCACCTGACCCATTTTTATTGCCCAAGAAAAAATAATAATAATAATGCAAAAAAAAAACTTATCGTGGGATCTTGAGTCAAAGTACATCACAATATTACAAAAAATTTGATATTCAAATAGATATGAAGTACCCGTATATCATTCTTTTCAGCAGTGTAAAAGGTTCGGTTCGAAATACCGGGTGGGTGAAAAGTCCCTACACAGGGCCTTTTTACTATTATTATTTTTAATACTACAGTATTATGTTATATACAAATCAGTGTATATTGTTAAAATGATAATCGAAAAATATAGTATGCCAATGATTGAAAAAAAGGTCCTGTATAGGGACTTTTTACCCACCCGGTATGTGCGCACTCATATGATTATATACTTACTTCATATTAAAATAAGACATACACACATTGAAATTTTTATACTGTTTTATATCTCCAACAGCTAACATTTATTCCCAAAGGTTTATACCTTTTTCCAAATATATATTCGAACATAATGTGTATGTCACGTCATATTGATTATCGACGCGAATCTTTTTAAGGCAGGTCAATAAAAATGGGTCAAATGGTCAAAACAATGGATCTCTTGCAGTATAGGTTATACTTCATTTTTTCTGGTGAATGTGGAGAATAAAGGCATCGTGACTTAAGTCACGATGCCTTTATTCTCCACATTCACCAGAAAAAATGAAGGTATAACCTATACTGCAAGAGATCCAAAACAATATTTTTGCAGTTGTTATCTATGTAACTCCTATCAAAAAAACTTATTAAAGCTATAACCTAAAGGAACTTAAATATATATAAAGCATGCATTCCTGATCGTATGCATCATATCGACCTTGGTCTGTTTAAGTACCAATTTGAATTCACCCAGGATATTTTAAAAGAAGTTGGAGGAACAAAATTACTTAAAAATTTCGATGACCGCCTTCGCAAGATTCCTCGCTTCCCTGGGTTAAAATTATTTAACAAATTAGGTCAATTAAAAGTAATGACTGCTGCAGACTATCGGCATATAATGAAAGTCATACTTTTTGCTCTTGATGATATATTTGATAGGTGGAATCAAATAACTTGCAAAGAGCTTTGCAAGTTATATACCAGATTTAGCAAAATGTATATAATGAGCCAGCAGGAATCATTTACTGAGATAGATCTGAAAAATTTTGAGGTAAATATCAGTAATAGTTCATCAATTATATAAATTAAAATTTGATTAGATAATATATAATATAAATTTGATATAGGCCCTAATTATTGAATGGTGTAGCGAATTTAAAAGTATATTTTCACCATTATCAGCCTCGGAATGTGGATTTCCAAAACTACATAGCTGGCGTTACCACGTAATCCCAACTATTCGTAAATACGGTGCATTAAATGGCTTGTCAACGGAAACTTATGAGACGCTTCACAAAGTATATGTGAAAAATCCATATAGGTCTTCTAATAGGAAAAATATTATGAAGCAACTAATAAATGCGGTAAGAAATAGGGATGTTAATGGTCGGACTAATTGGTCTTTTTTTATGTAGGACCAATGGTCTGGACCACTGGTCCCACATAAAAAAAACCCAATTAGTCTGACCATTAAAATCATTAGTAAGAAACCAATTCCATAATTAATTATAATTATACTTATAGGTAAAGCGTAAAGAATTAATTTTAACTCCCATAATAAGTAAAGCTGTTCATTGCAAATGAGAGGTTTGGAAAGGTACTATGGGAGTTGAAGCTGGACGCTATCGATGAAAAAGTAAAATCGTTAAAAAGTTCGAACCAAATACACCCAAACTACATTGAAGGGTTGTCTGAAATAGTTCCTGCGCTATATGCTTTCCTTGACACACCTTCACAGGATTCAGTAAGTGAAGACTTTTATGTAAAAGTCTATGATACAGTTCATCTGGAAAGTGGCGAAATTTTGAGGACTTCAGATAACTTTCAAGGGAAAGAATGGTTTAGCAACGTTGCAGTATCTGCTGCAGAAGACCAAATTCAGTATGAGTCGGATGAAGGTATATGGTATGGAAGGTTATTAATTTTTCTGAGATTTTACGATGGATTAGCAAAGGATCCATATAACCTTGCAATGATTCGTTGGTATGACATTGAGCCAATCGAACCAGAATTATATGGTTGTCCACAAATATTTTATACAAATGATTATGATATAATTCCAATAGGCTCCATTGATAAAGAAGTACATATAGTACCAAGATTTGATAAAAGAAATCGATTTTTACTAAATAAATATATGTTTTAAAATTTGGAAGTTTGAGTAACATCTATTTAGCAACCTGTATATATTTAAGGTCAAAAATTAAGTTTTGTACAACATTTAAAATTTAAGGTTTGTACAATGTTTCACAAAATATTATATATATAGACAGTAAAAATCCAAAAAACAAATATATTACTGTACATTGTTACCAGATATATTTACAAAGGCTAGCTCTGAATTTTTTACTTCAGCCGATCTTCAAAGCTTATACCTAGATTATGACTCTTAAGAGTTTATAATGTAAGTCTTGGTTATAAACACAACGCTGAAAAATTTGTAACAAACTTGGATCAGAAAGAGGAAGCTTTAGCAGATGCGCTTGCAAGAATTCTACGCTTGAATCTTTGAGAGAATGAACTTGGATCAGAAGTAGAAAAAGCATCAGCAGATGCACTTCACAAGAACATTACGCTGACTTCTTCGGATATTCAAAAGAATAATCTTGGATGAGAAAAAATGTACTTTACAAGAACATCACGCTTAAAAAATTTTCAATCTTTGATTAATAAAATTAGAATAGAAGGAGGATATACATTAATAAAATCACTTTACAAGAGCATAATTCTAAAATATTGAATCTTCTAGACAATAATCTTGGATAAGAAGTATTAGTAGTTGCACTTTGCAAGAAAACGACACTAACTTCTCTGAATCTTGAGAATAATGGATTGGATCAAAAGAAGTAAAGGCATTAAAGATGCACTTTGCAAGGTCACCACGCTTTATATATTAATGATTTTAATGACTTAAGTATTCTGAATCTAATACAATATACCTAATAAGAAAACTTGTAAGGATTCGGTATATTATGCAGCAGCGGGTCGAAGAAAGAAAATTATCAAGTACATAGATCCTGTGTTTTTCACCGGGGCATTTAGCAGTATACTCAGGTATGTTATCGATACTTACAACAAATATCCTTTTAACTTATTCAAGGTTTGGATAGTTTGTTACTTTCTTATTTCGATGTAATATTCATTAGGCGTCGTTAAAGTTGATCATCTTTAGTGAGAATTGGTTGTTTCTTTCGACTCCGAGTAAAGATCTACGTATCCACGAATACTATTTATTTACCGTTCCACGAGTTTTTTTTTAACAATAAATATGTACACTTTCGGTTGGTACGATTCAACTATTTTTCAATGCATATAACCATGATGTTGATTATGTTTTTGGTTAGTTCTGTAGTTCGATGATTTTTAAACTTTTTTTTCGACGGTTGACTTTACATAGGGTTCACTAGTCCTAGGCATTACAATTGGGTTTAAACTTTCTTCATTTCTTGCAACAAATAGTGAACGAATTAGGTCGTTTAGACTGGATATCAACTTACCAAGAACTCTTCAAGTTAGCTTCTTTTGGAGTTTTCAATAAGTGTATGTAGGTTTAGTTACTATATTTACTTATATTCTTTTTAATTACCGGTACATTGCAGTTGCTAATCATCTCTAACGCAAACAAAGTGACATTGTCTCCACTATTTTTCGATCACAATTCAGTAAGTTTCTTCACGATTGTTTAATACAAGCACATTATTCAATTTAATCTCTAACTAATATAAAAAATTTGCCGGGTTGTTTTTTTTGA